AGAGTGAAAGTGTGAGTGTGTGTGTGTGTGAGTGTGTGTGAGTGTGTGTGAGAGAGTGTGTGTGAGAGAGTGTGTGTGAGAGAGTGTGTGTGAGAGAGTGTGTGTGAGAGAGTGTGTGTGAGAGAGTGTGTGTGAGAGAGTGTGTGTGAGAGAGTGTGTGTGAGAGAGTGTGTGTGAGAGAGTGTGTGTGAGAGTGAAAGTGTGTGTGTGAGTGTGTGCGCGTGTGAATGTGTCTGTGTGTGTGTAAGAGGTATTATTAATGAAAAAAATTTATATATATATATATATATGTATATATATTATATTGAAACAAAATAAATAGAAACCTCTCATGGCTTGAAATAGATTAATGGAAATAATAATAAAATATAAAACATGGTTTAAATACAATAAATAATATTATAGCGTGTGAATGTGTGTGTGTGTGTGTAAGAGGTATTATTAAAGAAAAAAATGTATATATATATATATATGTATATATATTATATTGAAACAAAATAAATAGAAACCTCTCATGGCTTGAAATAGATTAATGGAAATAATAATAAAATATAAAACATGGTTTAAATACAATAAATAATATTATAATAGCAATAATAAAATAAATAATAAAATAAAAAGAGATCAAAAGTAACTCCCCCCAATGGTTTAAAACAATAATAAATTAAATCTAAATTATGATTTAAAATAAACAAAATACAAAAAAAAAAATCGATAAAAAAAAAAGAAAAACTAAGAAAAAAAGAAACCTGTAAATGTCTATAAAAACATGGCACTAAAACATCTCCACTATGGCTTAAAAAGATAATTAAATATAAAAAGTAATAAAGTAAATTTTAAAACAATAAAATAAATTAAGCTAAATAAATGGCTTAAAAAAGGAAATAAAATAAAACATTATCTACCATTACTTAAAAAGATAATAACTAAATATGAAAATAGCAATGAAATAATAATGTAAAATATAAAAGCAAAATATAAAATAATTTATCGAGGCTAAAATCTATAATTAATAGCAATAGTAAAATAAAACAAAAATAAATGTAAAAATACGAAAATAAAAAAGCATGCAAACATCGCACTATAAAACATATGGCTTAAAGATTAATTACTTAATTAAATATAAAAACAGTAATGAAAAAAATGTATAATAATAATAATAAAGCAAAAATGAAAAGAAATCTCTCATCGCTTAAAAAAGTGGGGAGGGGGTAAATAATAGCAATAATAAAAACAAAACAAAAAGAGCACCTCCCCAGCGTAAAACAATAATAGATGAAGTTTAAACGCACGCAGAGAGCGCACCTGTGAGAGTGATGCGCCAGGCTCAGGTGCCACAGAGCGCGGCTCACGCTGCGACGCTCCGGCGCTCCGTCTTCAGCCTCCGACGACAGATGCGCGAAGTGCTCGGCCAGGAAGCCCACGGGGTCCAGCGGCCTGGACTCCAGCAGCCGCAGCAGAGCCCCCCGCAGCAGCGCGCTGACCCCGGCCTGCGACAGCAGCTGCTCGTCCCCCGCGGCTTTGGCAGATTTGGAGTCGGACATGATCGCGACACCGGCGCGACGCTTCTCCGCCATCGCGTTAAATCATCGTCCCGACCTTCAGCTGCGCGTTTGCGCGTGAAGATATCCTTTCAGTCGCAGCTGCTGTGGACACGTGATGACGCGGCAGGTCAGCTGACGCAGCCGGATGACGTCATTTTGTAGGCCAAACATTGCTGTCATTTTTTAATCTCTCGGTCTCCATGAAGAACTTGCTACTGTACTTGGTTTAATTTCTTTCGGTGTTGTGTCTTTGTATTCTACAGGTTCCTTTATTTCATCCTGTTGGGCCCTTAAAATGTAGGCTAATTGTTTTGTAATTGTTGTTAAATTAAATAAAGTTCATGATTTAATTAATTAGACATACATATATATATATATATATATATAATATAGATAGATAGATAGATAGATAGATAGATATAATATATAATATATAATATATTGTTGTTCAAGCATTTAAAAAATCATGTTGGGCCCTTAAAATGTAGGCTAATTTTTGTTAAACTTTTAAGAAATTATTGTTAAATTAAATAAGGTTCGTGATTTAATTAATTAGACATACTTTTTCATTGTTAACAAATTAAAACTGATATATATATATATATAATTTTATTATAATTTTATTTTTTGCATGCAACCAGAAATTGTACCTCATATATATATATATATATTATTGATTGAAACCAGATATTGTACCTATGCAATGCAATACTATATATATATATATAAATATATATTTAATATGAATATATAAATATATATATATATATATAATATATTGTTGTTCAAGCATTTTTAAAAATCCTATTTTTTTATGTTTTTACTAATAATTTAATGGATTTAACAACTATACTAAGAAGTACAGTTATTAAATCCATTAAATTAATTTATAATCACCTAACATACAAATGAAAAACCATCCCAGAATGACTCAGATTGATCATTTTTATTAAATCAATTCTTTTATGAGTGTCTCCACAACTGTATTTATACATTTGCCAAATGCAACAACAATTATCACTGTTCAAGAATGAATTAATTTAGTTTCTCAGTGCATTTCTGTACAAAACCTGGAAAAAGATTCCAGGGCTGGGAATGCATAGATGAATATTTCATCCAGAGATACAGTACTGGCTAAACAAGAACAAGTAGTTAAGTGCAAATACAAAAACTGAGCAAGGCTTTGCATAATAAAGCAACTGAATTTGACTGAAACGGATTTAAAACAGTAGTAAACGTGTAGCTAGTCTTGGAGTGCTTGCAGGTTTTTATGCGACTGTGTGTCGAACCTTCTCATGACCGTTAATGTCAATGCACTTTACAGACTGATAGCTGTTGATATGCTCGAGCTTTCCGTTCATGAGGACGGGATGAAGGATGTGGTTTCCATCAGAGTGCATGAAGCTCCTCTTCATCTTGTGCTCCAGCTGCATGTGATTCTGCGGCGGCAGGCCGAGGCACGCTCTGCCGATTCAGAAACAAATACAGTTAACACCGCACAATCTCACGCAAGTGCTGTCAGAAAACTCATGCACGCTGCTGTCTGACCTCATGACGTTCTCGATGCACGCACGCTGGCGGAAGAAGGCGTTGACCACCGGAGCCCCCTGCGGCACGAGAGGAGCTTTGCAGAGGAAGCTCAGCAGCGAGAGGACGCTGTGAAAGCCCTGGAACACCGGATCGTCCTGCGTGCAGAACGTGATTCTCTGACACAGCTCTGTCAGGATCACCAGATCCAGAATGATGGGACTGGCCAGCAGAGAGTCCTGGACACACGCAGACCACAGACACATTATCATGACTAACTGTGACTGCTGCATGAACACTACTGATGAGGATACAAACATGATAAATATCAGATTCAAATCAATACTCACACACACACACACACAACCAACAGCGATGACATCTTTGTAATATTTGCATAAACTTTTAATAAATTGTTCAAGTTGAATGATTTCAGTTTATTAGACATTCTTTTGGATTACTGACACTTAATCATTAAAACAGAATTAATAATAATGATAATAATAAAAACGGGAAAAAATTTAATCACAAAAAAAAAATTCTGAATATTTAGGACCATGTGATATTTCAGTTTTTCTTTTTTAATAAATCTGCAAAAATGTCAACAATTCTGTGTTTTTCTGTCAATATGGGGTGCTGTGTGTACATTAATGAGGAAAACAAATTAACTTAAATGATTTTAGCAAATGGCTGCAATATAACAAAGAGTGAAAAATTTAAGGGGGTCTGAATACTTTCCGTACCCACTGTATATAAATTTAATTTAATCCAGAAAATTTTGTTACAAATAAAAAAGGTAAAATAATCAGAATTTTGGGACCTAAAAAATGTCATTTTTTTAAAGCTTTTAATGCATTGTTGTTAAATTGTATATGCTGTATATGTCTAACCATTAAGACAGAATCCAGAAACATGCATGTGTTGAACGATCTCACCTCACAGGTGTTGTGCAGAGCGATGGTGTTTGTTCCTCCCATCATGATCTCAGACGTGTACTCATCCATCGCACGCTTGCTGTCGCCCACATAGGGCACATATTTAATAACCACCTGCTCTGACAGACCACAAACCGAATCAGTGTCTTTTCACTCGGTCAGACATTATTTATGCATCGCAGCAATCTTCAGAGCTGATCTACAGTACGGTTCAGAAGACTGGGGTTGGTAATATAACGTCAGACTCACGCAGTGGTCGGGCTTCTCTCCGGGTCGGTACAGTATGGGGTTCGACTGCACCATGTCATCCACAACGTTACTCTTAGAGATTTCTTTAGAGCGAAACTGCTGCGGCGCCGACAGATTCAGACCGTCGTTGTTGCCGAGATGATTATAACTCACTATAGAAGTTGGCTGAAAATGACCAATTTTTAAAAATAATATGCAATATAGAATATTTCACATAATACATTTGAAAAATGTGAAAAATACATAATATAATATAAATAACACAATAATAAAATATAATTTATATTTGATAAAATATAGAATATTTTATATAATAAAATAATATAAGAAATATTTAATATTATTTAGATTTTTTAATAATATGCAATATAGAATATTTCACATAATATAAAATACATAATATAATGTAATATAATATAATATAATACAATAACACAATAATAATATATAATTTATATTTTATAAAATATAGAATATTTTATATAATAAAATAATATAAGAAATATTTAATATTATTTCATATTATTTTAATGTTTTTAATAATATGCAATATAGAATATTTCACATAATACAAAAATGTATAATATAATATAAATAACAAAATAATAATATATAATTTATATATTATAAAATATAGAATATTTTACACAATAAAATTAATATTTAATATTATTTAGATTTTTTTCCAGAATATACATATGCCACTTTTCAGAAATACAAAAAATAAAACAGAATTTGGGAAAAAATAAAATGGATTTTATAGGGCCCTAAAAATGTCCTTCATGTTAAACTTTAAATAAAGTTGTTAAATTGTAAAGGTTTTATGATTTCAATTAACTACACATGCTTTTTGATTACTAACATTTAATTTCCTTATTAAAACAGAATCCAGAAAAATTTAAATGCAAAAAAAAAAAAAATTTAAAATAATGAATATGGGAAAATGTATTGCTTTTTGTTAGTTAACTTTAGTTAATGCATTAACTAAAGTGTCCTTATTGTAAAGTGTTACCTAAATGATATTTGTGCTATATTTCTTGTTTAAAATGAAATGATGCATGTGTAATGTTTCAGATGTTGAAAGTGTTCCTCTCACCTTGATGCCAGCGCTGATCAGGAAGTCCACCAGCACAGACTTGAGTTTGGTCTGTCCGGATTTGAAGTCGTCTCCACTGATGAAGACGCCGCGCTGGAGGGCCAGCTCCACGGCTCCGGGGACAAACGTGTTCTGCGGCGAGCCGTTAATGTAGGCGCAGCCCTCCAGAACACTGGCCACCGCAAACATGGTGGAGGGAGAGACTTCACGCCCCGTCTGAGACACAAACACCACAGAAACCATCAATACCAGCCTCTCTGACTGACACTGACACTGACACTGACGTGTCTTGGTATTTTTTTAACTTTTAATAAATTATTAAATTGCATACGTTTCATGATTTCAGTTTATTAGACATGCTTTTGGAATTACTGCCATTTAATCATTAAAACAGAATACAAATAATAATAATAATAAAAACTGAAAAAAATGGAATCCCCCCCCAAAAAAAATGAACCTGAAAAAAAAAAAAGAATTGGGGAAAAAATGAAACGGATTTCGTAGGGCCGTAAAAAATTTATTTTGGTTAAACTTTTGATAAATTGTTGCTAAATTGTATAATATTCATGATTTCAATTAATTAGACTTGCTTTTTCATTACTAACATTTAATTGAACCATTAAAACTCAAGAGAAAAAAACTGAATCCAGAAAAAAAAAGTTTAAAAAAATTTTGAAAGAAAAATAAATAAAAATTAAACAGATATCATAGGGCCCTAAAAAAATGTCATTTTTGTTAAACTTTTAATACAATCAGCAATACAATTTACTTTTAATACAAAACTTTTAATACAAAGTATACAATTTGTTGTCAAATTGTATACGTGTCATGATTTCAATTGAATAGACACTGTTTTTTTGATTATTAACATTTAATTTAACCATAAAGACAGAATCCAGAAAAATCAGAATGGGAAAAAAAATTAAACGGAATCTGAGAAAAAAACAAAACAGATTTCATAGGGCCCTAAAAAATGTCATTTTTGTTCAGCTTTTAATAAATTGTTGTTAAATTGTATAAGTTTCATGATTTCAATGAACCAGACTTGCTTTTTGATGACTGACGTGTGCTTGAACCATTAAGACAGAATCCAGAAACACTGAAATTGACAGAACAGGAGCGTTCCAGCAGACTCTGACCTGAATGCTGTTGAGCAGGTTCTCGGCCGTGTCGTTGACTCCGGGAAACACGTCACAGAATCGCTCCGTGTTTGCGGTCCAGAGAACGATGACTTTATCCACGCCGCTCTTCTTTCTGAAGTCACGGATGTCTCTGCGGATCTGATCCACCTAAAACAGCACACAAGAACACTTCAAACATCCCCA